CTGTTTCGGGCCGCTCTGGCGCTGTTTTGGGGTGTTTTCGCTCTGTTTTGGCGCTGTTTTGTGGTGTTTTAGGGTGTTTTCTCTCTGTTTTCTCTCTGTCTCGGGCGCTGCCCGGCCGCTGTGGCGGGGGGCCAAGATGGCGGCCGGCCCCGCGCGCCCCGCGGCTGAGGCGGCGATGGCGGGCGCGGGCCCCTGAGGGGAGCGGCGGCGGCGGCGGCGGAGGAAGAGGAGGAGGAGGAGGAGGAGGAGGAGGAGGAGGAGGAAGAGGAAGAGGCGCTGCCCGGCGGGTCAGGGCGGGGAAGTCGCCGCCCGAAGATGGCGGCGGCGGCGGGGCCGCACGGCGGGGCTGCGGCGGAGGCGCGGTTCATCAGCAGCGCCAAGGTGAGCGGCCCGCGGGCTCCCCTCGGTGCGGCCCTCCCTGCCCGCCCAGCCCGGGGGCTGAGGGGCAGAAACCCGCAGGGTCCCCTCGGCAGGAGGGCACGGACGGGTTCCCTCGGCTCCCGGCATGACTCGGCGTCGGGCGCGTCCCTGACCCGCGGCTGTCCCTCGGCAGGGAAAGGGCTTGTTCGCCACCAGAAACATCCGCAAAGGGGAAACGGTCTTCGTGGAGAGGCCGGTGGTGTCCTCCCAGTTCCTCTGGAATGCCCTGTACAACTACCGAGGTGAGCGGCTGGCGGCGTGGCCCCATCCCTGTCACTGTCCCGGTGCGGTGACCGCAGAGGTACCGAGGGAAGGGTTCGGGGTTCCCTTAGCGCCTCTGTAAAGGTGGCCCTGCTGCCTTTCTGCCGCCACACTAAACTCCCGACAAGTTCAGGTGTCATCTGAGGGATGGTGACTTCCATCAGCTCTGGAGGAATGTGCCAGGTGCCACCATAGAATCCTGGAATGGGTTGGAAGGGGCCTTAAAGATAATATTCCACCCCTGCCATGGGCAGGGACGCCTTGCCCCAGCCTGGGTTGCTCCAAGCCCCTTCCCCTTGTTCCTTTCTGCTGTTGGTACCAGTTGTGTTGTGTTGCCCTGTGTTCTAGTCCCTTTCCTTTCCAAAGGCTTTCCTGTGGTATCCACCTACCCATCCATCCATTCCTCCGTCCATCCATCCACCCATCCATCCACCCACCATCCATCCATCCATCCACCCATCCACCTACCCATCCATCCATTCCTCCATCCATCCATCCCTCCATCCCTCCATCCCTCGCTGTCTTCCCACAGCCTGTGACCACTGCCTGCGGGCACTGGAGACGGCGGAGGAGAACGCCCAGCGCCTGCTGGGGAGGAGCTCCCTGGTGCTGCCTCACCCGGAGCAGTGCAGCATCCGGAAGGACCTGCACCAGCAGTGTCCCCGCTGCCAGGTACGCCACTGCCAGGAGGGACCGTGTTCTCCTTGGGATCTTGAGTCCTTTCCATCCATTCGGGCTCTTGTGCTGTCTGCCTTTCCGTGCTGTGGGCCAAAGAGCCAGGGCTCAGCTGGTCAGGGAGGGGGCACAGGCAGACCTAGGAGCCCCTTTTCCTGCAGGCACAGGCAATGGCAGCGCTGTCCCCTCGCTCTAGGTGACGTACTGCAGCGCAGAATGCAGGCAGGCAGCTCTGGAGCAGTACCACCAGGTGCTCTGCCTCGGCCCGTCCCGGGACGACCCCACGCACCCCCTCAACAAGCTGCAGGAGGCATGGAGGTAGGGCCTGCCCCGCCTGCGGCTCCACGGCCAAGGGAGGTGGCTCTCCTGGGCTGACTCCTTGCTGTGCATCCCTACACAAGGTGGCTGCAGGGTGGGGGTGGCCGTGGGACACTGCCCAGTTCTTTCTCCTGGTTGGGTGTTGTGGTGTTGGCAGCCCGAGGGTTTGGACACGCAGCTGAGCACTCCTTATTTTTATCCTGCTAAAGAGCTACAAAGTCCTCAGCTGCGCATCCCTCACTCCTGCAGTTTTCTGGTGCTCCTGCAGATCTCCAGGCTCTGGGAGATGTTCCTTGTGGCATCCCATGGGCTCATTTCTGTCCCTTCTTTAAAAAAAAATAGTTCCAGAGGGGATGAGCAACATCCCTGACCCAAATCTTGTCCCAAGCCCCAGCAGAGTGAGCAGGATTGTTTGTATGGGTGGAGCAGGAAGGTGGGGGCAGGTTTCTCTCCACTGCACCCCCACACAGCAATGCTGCACTGACCATTTGGTGTGCTGGGTCAGTGCAGGCCTGACCACACCTATGGCAGCTGCCTCTGCCTCCCTCCAGCTTTTCATTCCCGTGCCAGCCCTGACCTGCTCATCTCTTCTCTATTTTAATCCCACAGAAACATGCATTACCCTCCAGAGACTTCCAGCATCATGCTGATGGCCAGGATGGTTGCCACCATCAAACAGGTATGGTGGCTGGTTTTGTTATCCCATTTTGGGTGTTATTCCCAAGGCTCTGTTTCCTTGGCTTGGCTTTCTCAGCATTTCTTCTGACAATGCTCCCTCTCCCTGGGCTGGGGAGGAAAGTGGTGTTGGTGCAATGCCTCTGCTTGATTATTTCGTCAGGCTAAAGACAAGGAGTGGTGGATCAAGGTCTTCTCCCAGTTCTGCAACAAGACAGCAAATGAAGAAGAGGAGATTGTGCACAAGCTGTTGGGGGACAAATTTAAGGTAAGACCCAGCAGCTCTTAAATTGTCTCAAGCCTTCCTTCTCCTGTCTGTGTCTGTGAGCCCACAGATGCCAGAGCCTCGTTACAGTGGGGATAGGAAACACTGGAAACTCCAGGCTTGAAGGGAGGGCACTGACAGTGAGGAAGTGGTTGCTGAGAGGGTTTTGGCCTTGTGATGCTTTCATGGGATATGCTGCTCCTTCCTGTGGGGGAGATGTTCCTGCTGTGGGCTGGGACAGCGTGATATTTAGCTGCTGAGTAGGTGGCTTTGCTGCTAAAATGGGTGGATTTCACAGCTGTGAGGGCAGCAGCCTCCAGGCCAGGGAGCCCGAGTCCTTCTGGAGGCTCAGCCTCAGCCCGGGGCTGGCACCCCCAGCACCCCCACCCTGACCGTGCTCTGTGTCCTGCCAGGGCCAGCTGGAGCTGCTGCGCTTGCTCTTCACCGAAGCTCTTTATGATGAATATCTCAGCAGGGTGAGTGGCTCTGCCTCCCAGACAGCCCAGGAGCATTGGCTAGGGCTTCCCCTGGGACTCTGCTCCTTTCTTGCTTCTCCCAAAGCTCCCTGTGGCATTCAGAGCATTGCAGAACGAGGTGCTCTGCAGCCTGGCCTGGCCTCAGTTCCTTTGTCCTGTCCCTTCTGCAGTGGTTCACTCCAGAAGGCTTTCGATCCCTCTTTGCCCTCGTTGGGACCAATGGCCAAGGCATAGGAACCAGGTAAGGGGCTTTGTGGAGATGTGGAATGTCAGTGGCTGTGTTTAAGAGATGGGGACAGAGAGGCAGATTTAAAAAAAATCTTCATCTTGGCTGTGTCCAACCCTTTCACATCTGTCTGCCAGACCTTGGCTGCTCAGAGCCACTTTGGATCTCCTCTGTGAGGTCTCACCATGTGCTAACAGCACTATGGGAGTGTAAAAATGTCCTGCTGTTTGTGACAGCTCTGTGGGGCTGTGACAGTGTCCCACTGTGGGGCTGTGACAGTGTCCCACTGCTCCCCAGAGCCCTGTGGGGCTGTGACAGTGTCCCACTGTGGGG